GGTTATTAGCTTCCTTTGGTTATTCGGCTGTTTGGCCTCAAGTTATGCGGATGTGTAGTATGCGTTGCTGTGCATCATTTTTCGGTGGATTTGGAACACCCTTCAACATGTTATTTAAGTCCTTTTAGCATACCTAAATTTTGCATTTTGTGGCCCTTTTGTTGCTTCAAGAGTTTTGATGCTCATGCTCCTATTTGTTGCCATTTGGTGTATCCTCTAGGATTAGGTTACATTGGTGCCATCTAAGTGATTCTTGAGGCTTGTTTTTCGCATTGACTTTGGGACTGTTTTTGGTCTCAATTTGGTCATTTGCTTTCATTAAGTCATATATGATCACATGCTTTAGGTCTTGGGCCTGTGGTGGTATGTATAGGCTTGCATTGAGTAGGTTAATTTGCCATCATTTCCTACTGTTTCCAAGGCTCATATAAATGCCTACTAATTTGTCCATGAATGCCTCTTTCAAGTGTGCTCTGAGGTTGTCCAATTTATTGCCTACAGTGTTGGCCCTTAATCAATTGTATGTGTGCATGTGTTTGGTCCTCCTGTTCTTTGGTCATTTTAGCCACTGTTTTGGGCCTATTAGAGCTGCCCAAATCATGTTTAAGACCCTTTTCATTGGTCAGCATTTACCTCATGTTGCTTGTATGCCTTTGCAGTAAGTGTTCTATGCCATGCCAAAGTTGCACCCTTAGCTTTGTATGGCCTAAGTTGCATTGCATCTTGCAGTGTATGCCTTATTCCTTTGATTGTATTGATAGGGCCTTGTTGTTGTTTTGCTTGGTTTGCATTTTTCATTTGACATGAAAGTTTCCATACTTGGTTCTTTGGGCCATTCATGCATGGATAATGCGTGATTGGTGGTCTGAGAATCGAAAGACACATTGCCCCTTTGAGTCATTTACCATGATAAGGACATGGATGGTGCATATATGCCTTGAATTGTGCTGCCATGCATTGCCTTGGCCCTCTGTTGCTGTCATTTTGCAGATTCTGACAAGTAACCACTCTGAGTCCGACCTTTGGCAGTGTAAAGTGCGCCGACCGGACAATAATTTCTCTGCGAACAGCTTCATTTTGTGCCGGTAGCCACATCCCCACTGGCCGGGGAACATCCCTTGCAGCCCTGGTGGTTGTATGTCTCGCCACATCCACAGGAAGCAGTCCTGAGCGTCTTTTGGCATCCTCCACAGAGGAGTGAAAGGAAGGAAATGAGGCTCAGCCTAGGCTGGCGGTGCATTTCCCGAGGGCGATTTCCTGTTTTCTTGCTTTAAGTGTGTAATTTGCTTTAATTAATTAGGCAATTGTAATAATTGCTTGGCGTAGGTTAAAATTAATGTAATATTTATTTGGTTCCTTCGATAGCGCCTGTGTTGTACCAGCGACAGTTCAGTCGAGTGGGCAACAATCTTTAATAAGTGTGTGTGAGTGAGTGTGATGTATTTCCAATCCCCACTTCTTTCTTCCCTTTTCATCTACCTGCTTATTGATTGGTAGATAGGGCATCTTTAAAGTGTGTAGCATACCTTATGCTATGCATGCCGTGCATTCATTGCATTTGTATTGTCATTACATTAGGCTCAGGGTACATCGTGCAACTGCATTTGTACTTCAATTCCAATTTGAATATGTGCATCGATTAATCATATTCACATGCCATGTTTAGGGTTAGCCGAGCCTGCCTAAATTGCATTTTTGCATGTGATGTATTAGCCATTTTTAACATGAACTAGGACATGCATGTTTACTAACTAGTTTATTGTTTTGGCACGGAGAACTATGTAAGTATTTATGCTTTAGCATCTCGCATGCGTGTGAATGTTGCCATGACAGTATGTTTGCCATGTGGTAAATGCTTATGTGATATTATTGTTTGAATGCCTGTGGGTGAAGGTTGGATTGTTTGAGTTGGAAAAACTCGTTGAAATCCGTATTTTAGCCTACTTGCGAGTAGCAAATTCCAAAGCGCTTTTCAAAACAAACGGATATGCAATGCTTGTTTCCGAATTAGACAATCTAGTCTATATTTGTTTGTTGTGCGCATAACATAGTAATTCTAGGCTAAGAATTGGAATAAGAACACATAAAGTTTTCAAAAATGGATATCACGGTTAGTAGAGGCCGGTCTTCGGACCGGGCGAAAGGGGGTGCTCATAGATGACCTTCCCCGATCGTACCCTAGCTCCCGAGCCGAGACAACTCCGGTGATGACGAACATGTAGCCTTTGGCACCGAGTCAGGGTTTCCTAAATTCCCCCATAAAAAAAAATATTTAGGTGGCGACTCTGTATCTGGCAAAGCAGTCCATGTTTGGCACAACTTTTTCAAAAATCTGTTTCTTAAAATGATTTGCCAGATTTGGACTCTTTGGTTCAGATTAAGAACCGTGACACAAAATCGCGAGTCCGAACTGTGGTAGCGTAAGGCCCCCTCGCGGGACGCGTGCTACACTTATATTGTCCAGAAACAAAAAAAGTCCAAAAGACAAGAAAAGAGAGACATCAAAGTTGTGGTTCCTCAGCCTCAGGAGCAACTTTGGTTTGGACCTCTGTAGATTCTTGAAGAGCTACTTCGGCCGCCTTCTCCATTGCAAGTTCTGCATCAATCTCGGCAAGAGTTTCATCAATACTCTTGTCAATTTGAGAAACGTCGGACGAAGCGTACTCTGGAGTGGTTTCCTTGGCAACCCCTTCACCTACATCATCTTGAGTTAAGTTCATGATTTGCGAACTTGAAGGAAGGGATTTGGTCCCAGCAGCATCCTTAGGTTTCCTTACCAAAATTTCAGCCTCATCCTCGTCCTCACCTCCATCTTCATCCTCAGATTCAGAAGCATCCTCAGGTTGACTTGGAGGTGGAGGTGGTGGGAAGGGAAGAGGGATAGCATCGGCATTGCGGAAAGGTGAATCAGCAGGGAGATCAAGTTTCTTTATCAGGGACATCCAACCAAGAGAGAAGCCCTTGTTGCATGCCTGCCTGACCTGAAGTTTGTATTCTTCAGTAACGTCAGCCATACCCTGGGCGTATGCCTTTTCATCGGCCTCCTTAATTTCGACATCCTTGGTGGCCAGGGCCTCCTACAGTTCCTTTTCGGCTTGGGCCTTTCTATCCTCGGCCTCTATCTTCTCGGCTTCAGCAACCTTCATTATGGCCTCGGCTGATTCAGCTTTTTCCTCAGCTATCTGTTGGGCCTTAGTTGCAGCCTCGGCCTGCTCTTCCAGCTTCTTCATTTTTAGTTGAAGACCTTTGTTGGTCTTCTGCAGGGCAGAAAACTCCTTCTTCATCTCAGTCATTCTTTCCCGATTCTTAAAAGATTGCATTGAAAACGAATGGGCATGCTGGATGGCCTGAAAGAAAATAGAAGTGTTGGAAAATATTTTAAGTATGAAACAGAAAGAAAGTCAAAAGTTCAAAGCAGGAGCACTTACTTGAACGGAGTGCTGGAGCATTAAAGCGTAGTTCTCATACTCACTGTACTCAGCATTTCGCTCCAAGTCCCCTGGAAGGAGAAGAGCAGTGCTAAGGGCGACGCTTGTCATCGGCGCCTTCACTAGACATGATTGGCCTGTCCTCCAAAGTAATCTTTGGGGCCCAGGGGACGTTGGGTTTTTTGGACCCCGAAGCCGTTGCAGAGGACGACCTCGCTTTTTTTGACTTTGAAGATTCTGCTGGCTGTGTTTCAGCCGACCTTTTTGTGGGAATAGAAACAGTCTTCTCACTCCCAGCCAATTGTGAAATTGGCAGAGTATCTTCATTCTCAACAATAGTGGCTTTGGCCTTTGGCTGAGCCCTTTTGGTTCTTTTTGGCTTTGGTGGGGGCATGGATTGGGTTGGTTTAGCATCAGCATCAACTGGGAGGTCGGCTAGGAGATCTTGGGCAACAGGCTTCGGGCGACCCATCTCAGCAGTTTTGACAAGTCTTCGCCGACGTTTTCTTTCGGATATTGGGACCAAGTATGGAGCTGAAGTTGATGGTTGATCGGCTGGATCAGAGGTTGACCCTTGGTCAGCCCGAGATGTTGATGCGGTTTGTAAAGTGGTAGCAGAAGGAGGAGATAAGCTCTTCTTCTTTCTTTTTGGGACGTCGGGCAGTGTAGACTTGTACGTCGAAATAAAATTCAGTACCAGTGGAGCCTTGCGCTTTTGGATTGGCAAATTTAGGAGCCTCTTTAAGTCTTTGCTGGGAATGTAGGATTGGCGAAAGTCTTTTGGTGGCTTACGAACGTCTGCAAGAAGAAACAGACATTAGAAACAGATAACATATTGAAGACTTGAACAGAAACAACTAAGTATTGACACTGGGCTCTTACCCTTGCCCTCTTTAACCGATCGGGGAAGAGGATAGAGATGGGCGTCCTCGTCTGCGCCAAACTCCCAATTTCCCGAAGCAATAACATAGTCATCTCCAGCCCCCTTGTTGGAGTCTGGGAGGTCGGCTACTATTTTGAATTCAGTGGACCTTGGCTTAAGATAATAGACAAAGCCTTTTTCCTTCAGGTTAAAGGGGCACATGGTATAACAGTACTGGATGTCGGCAAGGGTGATCCTAGCATTCTCCTGCCTAGCTAAAACTATGATGCCATTGATCACTCGATAAGAGTTTATGGCAAGTTGCATAGGGTTCAACTTGTAAAAGTGAAGAATTTCGCGAAAGAGAATGTTAAGTGGGAGCCGAAGTCCGCACTCAGTAAAAGTTACTATGGGAAAGGGCATTGATTCATCTGTGGGCATGATGGAGTCGTTATCTTCAGCCAGCCTCAGATGGACATCGGCAGGAATAGAGAACTCTTGCCTAAAATACTCAAGTTTGGTCGGGGTATCTACCCTATGTCTCCACATACCCATAACGTCGGCCTAAAGACAGAAGGCTAGGTTTCAGAAAGAAGGTGCTCTTAAGGGGTTATTGGGACCTCGGCGAAACCCTAGGTATATACTGGTAAGGATTGTTTCAGTTTTCCCTAAAAATTGAAGGTTCTATAGACAAAACCCAAACCTAAATCTATGAAGGCAAAGATTGAAAGCAAAAATTAAAAGTAGAAATCAAGAAAACAAGGAACAAAGAACGACGTTTCAGAATCAAAGAACAGAGGTATGGTTCTCAAAAGCGAAAGAAATACAGAAGTAAAAGGTCAAGAACAGTGACAAGAAAAGTGTTGAAACAGTGCAAGTGTTCAAAGTATGAGCGAAATCATGGAATAGACGCATCCAGATGAATAGTTTAGCAAATCAAAGGTTTGAACAGAGCAATAATGACAGTAAGTA